TAGTAACAGCTGTTGAGAAGCACTCTAAGACAAGCTGAGATGCCTCTGAGAAGCATAGACCATCCAAGCTTCCTGCAAAAGACTCACAGCAATTGTATATCTGGAAGGATATTCTCTAAGCCACCACCAGCAGGTAATGAAGGGATCCAGATTTTCAGCGTATGTGCACTGTGAGCATTCTGGGATGGTATTTTGGTGATGTCACTGCCTTTGAGTCGCTTTGCTGATCTAAGTAGTCCTTACCCATATTCTTATAAGTAACCCCCATATGACTCACTTGTTCATCAAACTGAACAAACGTTTGATGTTGCCTACAGTTGTCGGTTCCCACACAGTGACCATAGGCGCGTGATTAATAGAGGCTCTAGGCTTTCATATATATTCCCAAGTTTGCAAATTGGAGCCCTGGCTGGATATGATCTTGCATTCAAGGGAGATTTCTCATTATCCCAGAAAAATCTGAAACTCCTTAATGGTTCTAATCTTCACAAATACAGCAGCCTTTTTACACTCTCTTCTGAAACTCTAAGCATGATTACATACAATTCTGCTGTCAAAGAGATGAGCCCATCATCTTTTTTTGTTTGTTTGTTTGTTTAGATTAATAATGGCTTTATTTACATTGGGCTGCACAGATATTCCTATCTAAGCAGTCTGAATCACCACAATCTCTCTCCCAGCCCCCATCCAGCACCATCCTTCTCTCCTCTCTTCCACCCATAATATTATAAGACCTTACTTTTATTCTTCATCTGAGCCTTCTCATGCCATTACTGGAGTCCTTTCTTCTAGTCCTAAGTACTTTATTCTCCAGGCTAACCCATTTTTGCATCCTCCTCCTCCTCCTCCTCCTCCTCCTCCTCCTCCTCCTCCTTCTTCTTCTTCTTCTCCTTCTTCTCTCTTTCTCTCTTTCTTCCTGTCTGTTTCCTGTGATTCTTTCTGTCCTCTTGAAGCCTAGGACCCATAGTCACACCTACCCCATTATGCCTTGCCCAGGTATAGGCCATTTACGAGCCAATCAGATATAATGTTTTAGGCAGGTTTACACAAACAAGGAGGGTGTATACAGTGCTCAGTAACCAGATTTTGAGGGCCAGCAATTAGCATTCGTCCAAGCTCCAACAATTCCCCTTTTCTGTCTAAATAGAAAAGCTATTTTTATACAGTAGGAATTATGAAACAATTATAAAATCCAGTAGACAAGGCTTACATATATAATGTTTAGTGTAAATGTCTTTGGCACTTTTGAAAAAGAATATATATTTTATTTATAAGGATCTAAGGTTTTGTACCTAAGTTATTATTGTATCTATCAACCTAAAAATATCTATCTAGACCTAAAACATCTTTTTAATTTCTAAGCAACTAAGCTAATTGCAATACTATGACTATCTGGTCTTCAACCACATCAAAGACTTGAGAAGGAATAAAATGAATTACTTGAGTAAATAGAAAGCTCATACTAGCAGCTTCCAAAAAAAAAAAAAAAATAAAGAAAAAAAAATGACAGAGACAGTTTGCTGCCTGAACAGTCATCGAAAACTTTCTATAATGTTAGAGCATCATTTTCAGCCTTTTGGCTCAGTATATTTGACAGACATATATGTGAAGCAGAAACTATTTAGTACTTGCTTACCCTGTCTCGGCAGAGTTCAGCAGTGGACTTGGCCTTCATTTAAGCTTGCTCATTTTAGGCAGAATTCTGTTTTTCGTGAAATGATGGCATTTTCTTTACCTGGGTGGCTGATTTTAAGCCATTTTAAGCCATTTCCTTATGGAGGTTCCTTGATGCTTATCATCTTCTTTGAGGTAGACTGGATGCTGCCAGGAGATGACCTGTCTCATTGTCAAAGAATCTTTAAAATAATAAAAACATTTCTAAATGCCATATTCTGTAGGTCTCTGAGGTTTCTGAAGACTTATCTATCTTTATATAATTTATTTATCTATAGAATTATATCTATCAGTCAAATGTAGGATGTATATTCTTGTAATAAATTACAATAGTGTCTAACATGACCAGGCATTGACTAACAACTAACTTGCATTACCTAATGTCCTAAACAGTTTTTAATAGCAGTTAAAGCCAGAAGAAAACAGGAAACAACCTTGAAACCTGCCACAGAGGGCCTCTGAAAGCTTCTGCAGTATAGACTGTCAAAGCAGATGCTGAGCCTGATGGCCAACTGATGGGCAGAGTGAATGGAATTTTATGTAAGAAGTGGGAAATAGTAAGAGCTGGAGGGAACAGGAACTCCACAAGGAGAGCAACAGAACAAGATAATTTGAACACAGGGAACTTCCCAGAGACTCATACTCCAACCAAGGACTATTCGTGGAGATGACCTGGAACCCCTGCACAGGTGTAGCCCATGGCAGTTCAATGTCCAAGTGGGTTACATAGTAATGGGAAGAGGGACTGCCTCTGACATAATCTGATTGGCCTGCTCATTGATCACTCCCCCCTGAGGGGGGAGCAGCCTTACTAGGACAATGCAGCCACTTTTGATGAGAACTGATAGACTAAGATCAGAAAGAAGAGGAGAACCTCCCCTATCAGTGGACTTGGGGAGTGGCATGCATGCAGAAAGGGGAAGGAGGGTGGGATCGGGAGGGGAGGAGGGAGGGGCTTATGGGGGGATACAAAATGAATAAAGTGTAATTAATAAAAAATTAAAAAGAAGGAAGACAAAAAAAAGCATTGGAAGTAAACCTTGCATTTGTAAAGATGTTGTATAGGTACAATACCTCATATCAGAGTAAAAATATACATATTTATATGTGTGTGTTGATCAAAGATAACCTTAAATTTGAATTCTATACCAATGTGTTAAAAATAACCTTATTTGAGTATAACAAATAAAGTCTGCAGATTCCACCATTCTGCTTGTTCCAGCCTCAACTGCTTCAATTGCTGTTTCTCATCAAAGCCTGCTCCCAAGAGAGCTTTGAAGAAAGCTACTAATCTCAATTGGGCCAGCATTTTATACTGTTCCAAACAGAACTTCTATTAATCCTGGAATTTCTCAACATTCATACTGGACCACAAATGTTAATGCTTGCTTAATTAATCATGTTTCCAATTTCCCCAAACAGGATTTCTAGGTGTCCCAGAATCTTCTAGAAGAAATTCATGAAAAAGACATCCAATTTCTCTTCAGGGGGTTGGGTGGGTTTGGGGCTGTTTTCTGGGCTATGATTGTTTATTGTTAATGAAAGTTGGTTTTAAGTTATTAATGGTTTTGTTCAGAGAGAAAACAAAGTTAGACTTAGGGATTTCTCTCCTTTCTTTTCTTTTTCTTTCTTAGATAAGGAAAAAAAGGGGTTAAAAAAACAAAGGGGACTAGAAGAATATATCTTATAGTAATGATAAGACAAAAGGTAGATTATTGAATCTACTCAACTTAAGGCTTTATTTGTTATTCTCAAATGAATCCATTATCTTAACACTTAAATTCACTCATGTTTTCAGAACACAATGAAAATAAAGTCTGGGTATTGCCATTGTTCTCCATAGCAGAAAATAAATGCAGTCACAATCTTTACAGCCTCAAAAGTCTAGGATTGTTGATTAAATTTCTCTCTCTCTCTCTCTCTTTTACCGTATTTTTTCTTCCTATAATTTCTTGTGGTTGGAGATGGTTGATATATTTATGTACAAGTTGTGTCCAAGATACAGAACATTGATTTGTCTTCAGACATTAATTTTTGTCTTTTAATGAAAATAGATTTATTGGCATATACAAGATTAAAATAAATAGATAATTACTATACCCTTGTGTAAATATTTATTCATTGAAAATCCATGAAATGAATCACAGAGCAAAAATTATACTCTTGTCTTGTTAAAAATTATCTCTCTCAACTCTGTATACTATCAGACAACACTAAGATTTTGCTTTACATCTAGAGTGCACTGTTGTTCAAGTTTATGTGTGTCTGTAAAACTTCAGAGGACTGACTACACATATACACACCGAAAACACACGCAAACATACATGTAAGTACACCCTGCTCAGTCTATAATATTACTTGTATTCATGTTTTAAGATGATCACTTCATATTGGATAACCAAATGTATCAACTAATTATAGATTATGGCATAAAGGAGCATTTGGGATGGAAAGGAAGTGAATAATTATATAGTTATGTCATAATGTAAGATAAAATAAATAATTTTTAAATTTGTATGTACTTTATGATAATTTGATATGAACAAATGAAAGAAATATGTTATGACAAATGCATTATTTTAAAGAAAAAAAATTGATATGTTTTGAACAACAAAAGGCTATTTAGAATCATTGTTCCTTAATGGAGACTCACATTTATCTCTCCTGTATCTCTAATCTTAGACAATGCTGGTAAAACAACATAGGCAATGGAAACTGCATACCTCTATTACTTAAGCATATTATTAATAAAGTGATTATAAGTCCTAAAATTTCTTACAGATAGTATGTATGTGTGTTTGTGTGTGTGTGATTTAGCTATTTATTGCAGAGGAAAACTACCGTCCATCCCATAGTAACAACTGCAGTCAATCATCACAGACTTCAACAAACTGTAATGTAAAGAAAACTATTTGATTTAAGCAACATTTATTGATGCTATGTTATAAGGAAACAATGAACTTTAAATAATATTTGAGAAAAAACACAGTTCTTTTGTTTCTCTAAATTATAACTTAAATGTGTCAGTTATTCCTTGCATTGTGGATAACTTTGATATAATCAAATTATTAATGAATTTTACATAATATGCAACATTTACACAACTACCATACACACATTCATATAGATGCCATTTAATAAAAAGCTTGTTTGTGTATTTAATGAAGATATACTATTAAAAGATTTCTATTTATATAATCTCTGTCCAGACTTGAACTATTTTTCACCTGTCTTCTGTGGTGGTCTCTGGGTGTTTAACATCAGTGTAAACATGAACAAGAGAAAAAAGTTAAAATAAAATAATTTAGAAAATAAAATAAACAAGAGTACTTTCTTCAGCAGCACATATACTAAAATTGGAACGGTACAGAGAAAATTAGCATGACTCCTGAGCAAGGATGACATGCAAATTCGTGAAACGTTTCATATTTTTAAATTTTCAGGCATGGTGGGAACTAGAGCAGATCATCTTGAGTGAGGTAACCCAGAAGCAGAAAGACACACATGGTATGTACTCATTTATAAGTGGATATTAGGCACATAATGTTGGATAAACATACTAAAATCTATACTCCTAAAGAAGCTAAACAACAAGGAAGACCCTAGGGAAGATGCTCAATCCTCATTCAGAAGTACAAACCAAACAGACATTGGAAGAAGGGGAAGGACAGGAGTCTACCACAGATGGTCTCTGAAAGACTGTACTGAAGTATGGAAGCAGAGGCTGAGACTCACAGCTAAATTTTGGGCAGAGTGCAGGGAATCTTTTTTTTTTTTTTTTTTTTCAGAGAATCTTATGAAAGAAGGGGGAAATAGAAAAAGCTGGAGGGGATAGGAGCTCCAAAAGGAGACCAACAGAGCCATACAAACTGAGCCCTGAGGCCCCTGCAAAGACTGATACCCCAATCAAGGACCATGCATGGAGCAGACCTAAAACCCCTGCTCACATGTAGCCCTTAGAATCCTTCTCCAAGTGGGTCCCTAGTAAGGGAAACACGGCTTGTCTCTGGAATGAACTCAGTGGCAGGCTGTCTGATCACCTCCCTCTGGGAAGTGCAATCCTTGCCAGGCCACAGAGGAAGACAATCCAGCCAGTTTTGATGAGATCTGATAGGCTAGTGTCAGAGGGAAGGGGAGGCCGACCTTCCCTATCAGTGGACTAGGGGAGAGGGAAAGGGGGAGAAGAGGGAGAAAAGGGTGATTCGGAGGAGACAAGGGAGGTAGCCACAGCCAGATACAAATTGAATAAATTGTAACAAATGCTAATGATAAAAATTAAAATAAATAAATAAACAAGAAAACTTTTTTTTGGTCTGTTTATTATTCTTAAGCTATTATCCTAATCCTTTCTTTATAACTTTGTTATGGCTTTCAAAATCCAGGGTGATTGGAGTCATACTGATTTTAGTACAGATGGGGGTGGCATTATCAGAATGCTGGGAAAGCTTTTGTGTGAGAAAGCAAGGAAGGAAAAGCCCAGCTTCTACATCTGAATGTGACAATCATATTCAGAGGTATTCTGATTACTACAGTGTTTCAAGAAGAGAAAAGATTTTTATTTGTTCACCACATTATCATAAATAGCTTTGAGAAAGTGTGTTTATCCAAGACTGTGTTGAAAAGTTTTGTTTCGCTTAAGTACACTAGGATGGTGACAAGGAATGAAATTAAGAAAGACATTACCTAGACCTATTAGGGAAGCCTGTTTGAACATAAACTGAATATGAACTGAGCAAATAAAACCTTTTTTTTCAGTAGTGGAAAAAAAAAAAACTCAAGAGACTTTTTGTTATGTTTTATCATGCCAAGCTACAGTGAACTGTTTGTATAAAGCAAACAGATGAAGCTACTTTATTATTACTTTTATCTTAAATTCACGCACAAAGTAACAGGTTTCCCTATGCCATTTTCATGCATACTTACTTCCCGTTTCCTCTTCACTGACTGTTTTCCTCCCTCTCCTAGAGTCCCACTCCCTGTACCCTTCCTCCATCAGCATTCTCATTTCTTGTTCATGTGAACCCATATTTATTATCGTTCCCCAGAGATTTCCTTGAGCCCCAAATATTTTAGTATTATTAATTTTAAGAATTTATGAATAGGTGAGTGGTATTTCATTGGATCTCCTCATTCTAGACCACCGAAAGTGATTGAAAATTATGATACTAAATTCTAAATGCATTGTACTAAGTTATTAAAATGTCAAAAGAATCTTCAAAGATATCGAATGAGTCTTGAATCACTGATTCTAAAAGCTAAGCTGTGGGTTTCTCTGCCTCAGAGTAATGTCTTATGAAAGCAGCAGAAAGAGTGATATCCAAAACATAAAAGCAGCTTAATATCCTGAATCAATTAATCTGTGACAGAAAGTTTCCTGTTTAATGGTCACTTAGTATTTGAAAGTCTTATCATTGGTTATGAGTTAGTGTTGTCTTTGACACATTCATTATAAAGGTGAGAAAACCTAGATGTGAGGGTGATATCTGTTCCATGGATTAGGATGGTAATAGCTTCAGTGTACAGTAGAACATGGAAGAAAGTTTGATGCGAGAGCTCCTCCCATCTCTTTTGACACATCACTTCCTATTCTTTCCATGATTACTTCACCACACACTTGTGTCATTTTATTTTTTATTTTTATTTTTGTAGTTTAAAGACATAGATATTTTCCCTCCAGATTTACTCTATGAATAAGTGCTGCTTTTCTTTATTTTCCATAGTTTCTGGCTGTCAACTTTGATGGATAATGCAAACCCAAGGTGTTATCTCTTCATGCTAACTTGCCATGTAATACCCTCTAAACTTATGATATGTTGAATATTTTGGTTGAGTTTCTATATTCCAAAGAGTTGTCAAAATTGATCAGCCACAGTATAAGATGTTCATTTAAAATATTCTTTTATCATATCTAATTCACTTTTTTGTATACTGAAACATGACAGCGATTAGCAGAACACAAGTATCATTCTTACATTTGCCATATATATGTATATATATGACACACAAGCACACACACACATATATGTATATATAACAATTATGGGTCAATTGGTTGTTTCCTTATAGGCGTTACCTAACTATCTTAATTAGATTGCTATACATTTTGGGTCTTTGGAAAGTAAATACCATTGAAATGTGTAAATATGAACACATGAATCAGAAACAATAAGCCCAAACACTTATGAGTAGACCTTAGATTGGGCTCTTGCTTATGCACTGCTTAAAGTCAGAATAAACTGGTCACAAATTCATCTGAACACATGGTGTACTTTATTATTTTATTACCTACCTACCTACCTACCTACCTACCTACCTACCTAACTCTATCTATCTATCTATCTATCTATCTATCTATCTATCTATCTATCTATCTATCTATCTATCTATCATCTATCTACCTATCTATCCATCTATCTGGGCTCTTGTTTTTTTTGAGACAGGGATTATCTGTGTAGCATTGGCTTTCCTGGACTCGCTTTGTAAACCAGGCTGTTCTTGAATTCACAGAGATCCACTTGTGTCTACTTCCCTGATATTACAAGCATACACCAACTCGCCTGGCTCTGTGGTGTTGTTGGAAACATAGGATAAGTCACCCTGGTTCTACCTGCCAAGCTTATAATAGGATAACGGCAGTTCTCAAAGCTCATGGAATTGCACTCTCATTGCAAATGTAGCTCTTCTATGATTTCTCAAGTTAGTTTCTGGATTGATCCAGAAGACTTGCAGGCTGGAAGCTGAAGAGGCAAGAGCAATGCATCATGATACTGTAAAATGCATGCTTTCACATTGTTAATTTAAAGTTATGAACTTCCTAAAGAGTTCAGGTGAGTGTAGGAGAGATGGCTGTGTAGTTAAGAGCATTAATTCTTCCTCCAGAGGACCAGGATTCAGTCTCCACATGACAGCAACCACATGACAGATCATACAATCTATAACTCTAGTTCCAAAGGAATCCATGGCCTCTTCAGTCCTCCATAGGCTCTAGGCACAGATGTGGCACACAGATATATATATATATATATATATATATATATATATATATATATATATATATATATATATATATATAATTTATATATATTTATAAACGAAAAATGAAAAAAAATTCATAAGGACTTTGTAGAACACTGAAAATATGAAATGTGTTTTATTAATACAATTTTATAAAACAATCAGAATTTTTTAAAAGAGAAATTAAAATTTAGTACAATTAAATATAAATATTGCTTATATAACTTTCTCTAAGGGGATATAAAAGGAGAGAAAAGTAAGTAGAACATTTAGAAAGAAGACTGGGAAGATAGGTCCTTGGGTAAAGACATGGCTACACAATGAAGGGTACCTGAGTTCAGATACCTCCTACCCATATAAAAAGCCTGTTACGTCAGTATGTGTCTGTACCCTCAACCTTCAGATGGTTAGAGACTGAGGGACCCTGGGGGCTTAATACAAAGCCAGTCTAGGCAATATTGCAAGCTCCAAATTTAATGTAAAATTCTCTCTCAAAAATAAGTTAGAAAGCAATAGAGGAAGAAACTTCAAGTCTACCTCTGGCTTACATACACTTATATACAACAAATTCACCTACATTCACCAGAGCACAAATATTTGTATATGCGTGCATGGCGTGTACGTATGTATGCATGTATGTGTCCATTACTTTTTTGTTTCTTTCTTTTCTTTTTTTCTTTCTTTCTTTCTTGCTTTTTTCTGTCATCTATGTATCTATCATCTATTCATCATCTATAAGTGAGTTCTCAGTCACTTATGAGCTAAACAGTTCTATTATTGAATCAAGGGTCTTACCCCTCTCCAGCATTGTCAGAGAGTCGATGAAGCCTTTGAAAAAAAAACAGGATGAAAGAAATGTAAAACATCATAGACCCCAAATCTCCAGAGCACTCTGAAAATGGAGTTTCAGTAAACTTTATCAACCTGTCGATAAAAATTCTTGCATCTTTATCCTATACTGATCACACTTGAACATATAACAGCGTATGCATTTATAGAAAATTGGACATTTTTTTCTAGAATCATTCTGTTATATGATTGCCATTTCAACCATAAACATATGGTGCTAATATTTTGATTAATGTTATATGATTTTTGTTCTAAGATTAAAAAACAATTTATATGGTAAGGATTCTCCATAATCTGGAGGCCACATAATTGAAATGCTGTTTTGTTTTTTTTTTCTACGTTTGCCCAATCTCTTCATAAACGTTTTGCTTAGTGTTTTGAAATTGATATTTCAGGTTTTATTACAGGCAAGTCTGTGGACATTTCTATGACCAATAGTTGATGTATAAGGGCCCAGGCCACTGTGTATATATGTGTGTGTATGTGTGTGTGTGTGTGTGTGTGTGTGTGTGTGTGTGTGTGTGTGTGTAACTCAAGATTTCATTTTAAAAATCCTAATGTTCATAGTAT